TCAGTGAGATAAGGTTAGAAGGACAAAGGTAGAGGTGCTGGCTAATCCAGAAGATTAGGGTTTGAGAGAGCTCAAAGAGTGGATGCACCTGCGCCATTGCAAACGATTTTGAGCCATGTCGTTCAAGGTCTCTAACCATTGATGACTTTCGTCTCGCAGACCCCAACCAGGTAGTCTACATCTACCAACATGACTCAGTCCACTTGTCAGTGACTTCATGGATTTCTGCCATGTTTTGGTCTGGCCGCCCCTAGCTTTCTTCCAACCTACTCCTACACCACAAAACATAGCTCGTCGAGGCAGTCGGTGGTTAGGCATACGTAACACGTGTCCCAACCACCTCAACTGATGAAGTTTCACCACTTCATCGATTGATCTGCCATCCTTACCTAGTACTCGTTTCCTAACGACAGCATTGCTTACTCGGCTGTCCCACGATATACGAGCAATGCTTCTTAAACATCTATGATCGAATACTAGTAACCTACGAACATCTTCTACTCTTAACGGCCATGTTTCACAGCCATATAAGAGAACGGAACGAACTGCTGCGCAGTACACCCGCCCTTTGGTTAGCGAACGGATATCACGCCTACGCCATAAGTGACGCAGGTTGGCAAAAGCCAATCGAGCTTTCTGTATCCGAGCTGAGATTTCGTCAGTCACCAGACCGTCAGCACTGATGAGACTCCCCAGATAAGTGAAGTGATCTACACGCTCGACTACTTCACTCCCTATCACTAGTTCAGGTGCCGAAGCAACCCAGTCTTGAAGCAACATTTTGCATTTCGAGGGGGAAAACCGCATCCTGAACATGCTCGCATTGTTGCTTATGGTAGTCAGAAGACTCTGAATTTTGTCAGCGTCTTCACCGAATAGAACTATGTCATCGGCATATTCTAGATCAGTAAGCGAATTTCCTGGTAGAAGGTCAACCCCTGAAAAATCTGACGAGCTTAATGTTAACTCTAAGAGGATGTCTACGACAAAGTTGAACAAGAATGGAGAGAGTGGACAGCCCTGACGGACACCACTTGATGTAGAGAATTCAGATAACAGTTCGCCATATGCTCTCACTCGACCAGTGGTGTTCGAGTAGAGAGCTTGTATAAGGTTAATGTACTTCTTTGGTACACCTTTCAATGACAGACACTGCCACCTCACGATCCACTGAGTCGAATGCCGCCTTAAGGTCCAGGAACACGACTATTGTCGGACGTCTAAATGTGTGTCTGTGTTCCAGGACCTGTCGTAGTGTGAAGATGTGGTCTATACAACCACGTCCAGGTCGAAAACCAGCCTGGTTTTCTCGAGTCTGCTCTTCGCGAGCTCTAGTTAGACGTCTAAGTATAATCGAGGCTAACAATCTAAAAACTATATTAGTTAAACTTATTCCCCTGAGATTGTCACAAGAGGACTTCTGTCCTTTCTTGTAGATTGGGACAATTAGCGACTGAGACCAGTCAGATGGGATTACGTCCATTTCCCAGATTCTACCTAGGATCTCGGTCAGTCTAACTGTTAAAACTGGACCACCATCCTTAAACATCTCAGGGGTAAGCCTATCGGGACCTGCCGCTCTACCTCTCCTTAGATTTCCTATAGCTTTCTCAACTTCATGTAAACTGGGAGGACTTAAATCGATTTGCCATTCAGGATGACTGGAGATCGTGGGCAACCGAAGAGTGGCTGAAGGCCAGTTGAACTGATCCCTAAAGTGTTCTGCCCATCGGTCCAGCCTCCTAGATTGAGAATGGATAATAAGACCATCCTTTTCCGAGATAGTCTCACTTACATTCGGGTTCCTAATACCGGTTTCTTTGATAAGGCGGAAAAGTTGTCTAGTGTTGCCTATCGCCGCTGCCTTTTCCATCGCTTTTGCTTTCGCCACCGACCACTGTTCACGGTCGTTACGTAGGCTTTTTATAAGTCTGCACCTAAGCTGACTACGCTCTTCATCATGTTCAGAGTCAGGTGGGATGCGTTTTCGAGCATCCATCAGTTCGGTTGTTATAGTATAATGTGTACTAGCGACCTTATTACTTAACATGATGCCAGGGAGCTTAGGAGGTGAAGACCGAGATAATTAAAATACACGATACACAAAAAAGGGGTTTAGGGAAGAAGAAAGTTAGTAGTATATAGTAAAACTACAAAGAATAGAGCCTGAAAGTACTCCAAAGTTGCCTACCTCTACGCTTTCTGGAGTAACCACCCAGGCAACAACGGATACGTGATAGTTCCCTATCCGTGAAATACATGTACGCTACACCTTTCTCTTTTTCTTTCATTTTGTATCCTGAGCCCATGTCTAAGACCATCACCCTGTTGGTACCGTCAACTTCAGTCAAGTTTGGTGAGATCTGGCCTGATCACCCACGCCCTTTTCAAGGTACTCAGTCGATGTTTATGTTTCGAATGTTCTGCTATACGTATGGTTTTGAACTTGGTCGTTCTGGTTATTTTTAGGTCATTTGTTCAATCTGGTTATGTCCTACGTCTGCAGCCTTTTCTGTCTCGGACCGCTACGAACGCAATTTTCAGAATCTGGATACGAGCCACGCTAGTGTGGCATGCAAACACGAGCACTAAACTTGGAACGTCACTATCGGTACAGTTCAGCGTAGAAGAATTCCGATGACAACTCGAGATTCATTGGTCGCTTCCTGTCCGTCTGCTCTTCCGCCCAATAATCGCCCGTTAGCCGACCAGTGCCCCCTCCACACGAAACCGCTACCTAAGTGTAAGCCTTTTCCAGGGGAGGGGCTAATGTAGTGGTATACTTTTATGAAGATAACACAATCGCTGAAATGGAATTATTTATTATCGTACTTGATTCTAATAATAATTGTTCTATTGTACTCCTTTTGTTTAACTGTACTAAAGACTGTCTCTCGCGCGCCAAGCGTGTTATTCCCATTTTTTTCATTCGCGCGTCCCCTGCCTAGACGTTAGCCACTTGTACGCCCTCTGGACTCGATATTACTTCGACGTCACAAGGCTAGCATTAAATATACTGCTCCATCTAGAATCGTCTTTTATCTGATTACTAGATTAACGGAATAGTATTATATTTCGATTCTGCTACAAGTCTATGTGTTGAATACCAATAGATTTTAGCAACATATACCGGTAAACACTTCTACTTCAAACAGTGGCTGTCACTAATTTGGTGGCAACGGTTTTCCGATTCAAAAGTTCCATATTTTGGTGTGCCGTAAATATCAGTTTCAAAAATGCTGAGTAAAGAAACCGCACGATATTATATAAATTATTGGTGTAATTACAACCGCTGTCATTTTGAAGGTTTAACTGATGATTGGTGGCCTACTTATAAGGCCAAAGAGTGAATAATTATTTTAGTTAAGATCAAACAAATATCTTACCACTATCTACTCAAGCAGCTTTTAATTAGGAGAAACCGCTCGATCGCCTAGATAAGTGAATGTAAATTTTTACCCGAAATTTTCACAGATCAACTTTTCTAATTTAAATAATATTACACATACACACCCTGTATTTAATTTTAACATCGTTGCACACTTCACAGTCTTTCTACAAAGAGTGTGTTAGTTAGTTAAATTACAAGCACGAAGCACGAGTGTAAATGTTTCACCTTGTTTACAGGAAAAATTTCTTCATTAAAGACGATTAAAATCTTCATTCATAGTACATGATTACATAAATTTGATTTTCCTAGCATATTCTCATGATCAACTTGCAGAAATTTGTTGTTAAATGCGTGACAATATACAAAAAAGTTATAAATTGTCGAGAAACGGAATATGATAATAATTCATACTAAAAATTACGGCAACTCAGTAAATTAATGATAACTTAATTCATTCACTTGTGATCCAGTCATTTGAGTAGATTCGAACAGTGTATCTCATGGATTCTGTATAGTGTAATATCCCGTTAAAAAAATCACATGTCAGTGGACTGAATAACATTATTTATCTAAAATATACCTCTTACATTCGAAATACATTTACTTATGTTAATTACTATACTAAACGCAAAGAGTCTTCTGTATTCTAACTTTTAAGATGATGATAATCTAATCTTTTGATTCTAAACATGAAATTTCACTTATTACTGATTATCTTCAATAAGCATAAACTTCCTCATTGCTATTTCTTTCACTGAATTCATTTGGTTGATAGTTGATTGTATTTTACATATTTGTTTACAATACCAAAACTATGCTATTTGCCAATCGCCAACTATTTTGTTCTCAACGACTAAAAACGAGTGTAAACCCTTAAAACTGACCTTTCAACAATATTTTCAGCAGTCAAATCAGCTATTCTACCATAAATTAAACGATATCTGTTCACTATCTTTCTCGCAGACTTACATTGGATTGTTCAAAATAGGTTAAGTTCCCAGGTGATTTTTTTGATGAAACTCTTTATTGGTAAAATAAACAACTTATTTTACTGTCTTTGTAAATAGATCTTGTGTCTTAAAACAGTGTAATGGATACTTTATCAGGAAATTTAAATAACACATACACTTGATACGTCTAGCGAGTGGGTCTCAAGCGATGATAAATACTGTAACTATCTACCAGATTAAATATCTTGATGTTGCCTTATCAAATGTGGCTATTTCAAGTTTTAAATACATCCTTCAGATAATCTAAATTTAACAAGAAAATACATTCGACAGAACTAATTCATAAAAATGTTCTATTCAATGCATGTATTCACTGTCAGACTGTGTTAAGAATTATTGACCTCCTGTTACATAAATGATTCAAGTGGGAAAGTATGTAAAATGGTGTTCATGTTTACCTCTGTGGTTATTTAAAAGCAGTGGTTCATACATCAAAAACCCATCTCTATCACCAGATCATTAAAAAAGCTAGACAGAGTATTAATATAAAAAATATATTTCACGATATTATAAAAACAAAAAAGCCAAGCAACACGCACGAAAAATAACTGATAAGAACATTATAATTTTACTGCATCCATTTTATGGCTTCGTTTGAATCAAACGTTAAATCGATCGTCTAGAAATCGTAAAGAAGAATTATTGAACGTGGTTTAAGAAGGTTCCAAATAGCAAAAACACATAACATAAAAGTAATAATCTTTGATTAAAAAATGATATTGTATGGAGTCTATGAACCCAATAAATATTGATTTGCCAATCTCCATATGTCATCAGCTCACACTATTATAGTTCAGTTACTGATGATCAATGGATATTTTATTTTTTACTCTGAAGACACTTTGATGAAACTACGTTAAAAGAGCTGGGGAACTTAGTCATTAGTTTTTTGTTGTTTTCCGAAACGATGCGAATAGCACAAAATTTGGATAGAAGTGAGTGGTTCGAGTCCTAGCGTTCTTAAATGATCTCCTCAGTAAAAATTTTGTGTGGTCGTGGTTACACGTCTTGTGGTTATCCGCACATTTATTTTGATTTTCCCTTCTTACAACCTGGTTACTTTTATATGATTGTTCATGATAATGTTATTTAGCCGAAAGTTTGAGGTTTTAACTTTTTAAAGTTGAATATATATGTGTGCAAAGAAAGTCAGTTAGTCAGCTACAACGTAGACTTTCGTAAGTATGCACATACTGCATTAGCACGCAGCGATAAAATCGTCAAGCCGAATCCCATAGTAGCAGATTTAGTAAGATTATTAACGGTAATCAAAAAGGTTAGGGTTCTAACATATAATACATGAATTATAATCCAGTGAGGTAAATTTAACAAGCGAAAAAACTTTAAAGCGGGATTCAGAAGATTAGAATTTTTGAGAAGAAAAACAACAAATGCACCTGTGCCATTGCAAACGACTTTGAGCCATATCATTCTACGTCTCAAACCATCGGTTACTGTCTTTCGCAGACCCCACTCAAGTAGTCTAAATCTACTAACATGGCTCAGTCCATTTGTCTATAACTTCATGAATGTGCCATGTTGTTGTTTGGCCTCCGCTTCTAACCGCCTACCATGACATCACAAAACGTCGCTCTTCAAAGCAGTCGGTGGTTGGGCATGCGTAACACGTGTCCTAACCACCCCAGATGATGAGCATTCACTACTTCATCAGCTGATTTGCCACTCCTATCTATAATCGTTTTCCTAATACCGACATAGTTTACTCGATAGTCCCAGGATATATGAGCAATACTTCTAAGACATCCACAATCGAATACTAGTAACCTACGAATATTCTCGTTTCTTAGTAGCCAAGATAAGCAAAGAAATGGTTGCAAAAGCATTGGAATTATTAAGCAAGCAGATATAACTCATTGTTAATTGATTTGTTGGGTGAAGTGAATGTAGTTGTCTGTCAAAGGTTACAGTATGCTGTTTTCTGTATATTCTCAGATCAAAGGGTTTCCATTAGGTAAAAGTACTTTTATGTTAGTAAGCCTGCAATTCACCTACCGGTGCTGATAGATACTGATAGATAAATACGAACCAGACAATCACGGATGAAATTTCTTTAATTCCAACGTCTGTTACGCCTTCCTTCACTGATAAACAATAGTACATAAAAGTTAGTTTTTGGCAAAACATGTATATGGTTCACAATTTAAAAAATTATTTATCGACATGGTAAATGCGCATCAATATTTACTTAGTTCTGAATATTTTGCAAAATCTTGCCATTGGTTAGCTAAACATCAGTCAATTTATCAGTCAAACGCAACGTAAAACTTTGGTTCAAGTTACCATAGTACATTAGCATGAGAAGATCAAATTATTACGGCGAGTCACTAAGTAGTAGAAATAGTAACAGTAACAGTTTCAAATGAGACTAGGAATCGAAGATATGATCCAAGAAAATGTGAATCAGTAAAATGAAGTCTATGAGGAATTTGAAACCATAGAATGCAAGGTAAGTTAAACAGTGGATGCACGTCCACTATAGTAAATGGTTTTGAGATATATCGTTCAAAGTCTCTAAATACTGATTACGGTTATCACGAGAACCCTAGTCAGGCAGTTTTTATGCATTAGCATGGCTCATTTCAATTGCCAGTGAATTAATATATTGGTCTTGCTTTTTGATTTGACCACCTCTAGCCTTCTTTCACACAAGACAACATAACCAGTAGAGGAATACAATGATTGAACTTATGCAACCCATGTCCTGACCATCACATTTGGTGAAGATTTATCAACACATCAACCGATTTGCCATCCTTACCTAGTACCCTATTCCTAACTCAGGCACAGTATACTCAGCGGTCCTCAAATATATGGAAAATGCTTGGAAAACACCTAAAAGTATTTTTCATTTCATGAGCATAAAACAGAACGGGTTAGCAAGGGGGTATCCAGCCAACATCATAAGTGACACAAGTTGGAGGAAGCTAATCAAGCTTTTGAAAGCCATATCAAGATTTTTTCAAATAGCAACACTTCAGGACTAATAAGATCCGTCAGATAAGTGATGCGGTCAATAAACTCATTTGTCTCGATCCTTATCAAACCCTTATGTGGGGCAATCTTGAAATAACATTGTGAAAAACATTTGAATGCCATGACATAGGATTTCTGTGTTTTTAAAACGTTCAAACAATCGTATCCAATTTAAATCTAACCTCATGTAAGTGAACTCGATCGGCTAACAATGTATTAACATACCTTTAGTCATGTAATTACAACTGATCTTTAAGTGTTGAGTACTAAATAATGTGAAGCCATTAAAGAACCACATCTTATCATCAACTTATGTTCCTGATGTAAAAAGGGAAAATAAATTCAAAAGAACTGACAAAATTTAATTTCAGTGAGGAGTACTTGGTTGATATGTTGGCCTAATTTTATAAATTTGTCCGATATAGAGTACTGGACATAAAATTTCACCATCCAGCATGTTCTGAGTACAAAATAAGGTTTCCTGAAATACTCTATGAGCTTAATACCGAAAATCCCTAATTTTCTGGGGCTATTTATACGCCAACGGAAACTGTACATTCGATACCATAGTTATGGAAGCTTAAAAACTTTCTGACAAAATAGTCGCTATCAAGCTGAAAGAAATGCCATTTTGAACAGACATTGGAAAAATGCCCAAACTCATTATATGGTTAAGTTTTTAGAAGTGTCTATTTTGCAGATAAACAAGTAATGAAACGCAACTGCTAAGCCTGCAAAATATGAATCCATTAAATTCCACTGCCAGGCACTATCGATTCTTGCTTACAGTGCTTCTGATTTGATGTCAACACTAAGATATTCCAGATATGATGTACTATGCCAAAAGGGATCGACCAACTGCAGTCCAAAAGCTTTAATAAGAAGATCCAAACAATCAATATATATGAGTCACTGTATACTTCACGCAAAAATCCATATAGTTTACACTATCCTAAGAATCTATTGTAAAAGACAGAGAATATAAAGGTATCGAACCGCACGGTAACTGCTATTGTACTGTGATATTTTCAGGCGTACTTATTGATAACGCACTTTCTATGAGTAATTTAAAGTGATGAACATTTTCTAACAACTACAAGCCCATTTGTATCTAACATATTCTAATTTTCTATTGAGTGAACTTAAGTTTTTATCCGCCTTATCAATGTGAAACATCAACATGATCGGTTGTATTATATATAAAAAGGCGTGAATTCAATCAATTGATTTATTTCAACGAAAGCTGTTATCTCAATAACTGAAGTAAATCAGTGTTTACTTAGCCTCTAAAACAATTCATTTGAAGATTTATGAAATTCTACTATATTTACCTACAGATGTGTAGTCAAATATTATGCAAAAACTATACGCTAATAGACAAAATGATATTGCATAAATTTTTCAAGTTGCAATAAAAAGAACTCAACTTACTCCGAACTTGAACCACGATCGCTAGAATGGTTTCGACGATTTGAGTGTGAACCATGTCGTCCCTGACTGTTTTACAAAACAAACAGTGAAACAAACATTGTAAACATATAAAGAACGACTAAACGTTAGATGTTAATTTGGCGTTTTTTACCGTAAACTGTGGAGCCTCATTCCTGTCAGTAAAATAATGACTGCGCTTGACACTAAAACCGTTTAACTTTAGCACACAATTTGGATATGATAGGATTTTCACTGGGAAAAGGTTCAAATTACTGGAAGTTTATTTTGCCCTTTTTATTGTTAACTTTCATATCTTTGACGTGCATTTATTTATAGTACTTAGATAACTAACTGGATGACGTGGTTTATCTTTTCTGACAGAATAGTAAAATGTTAATATTTAAATCACATGCACAGTTAAAAATATCTTAGGAAGTATCATAGTCACAAGTGCCATAAAAAATAGTCTTTGTTAAGATTGAACTGAAATAATGGTTAATAAGTTTTTATATTAAAAGCAAAATAACAAATGGTCTTGCGTTTTTGACGCCCGCAAAATTAAAACTTTAAGCCAAAGTAACCAAGCGTTTATGAATGATTGATTATTAAGTCATGCTTTACTACTATATCCAAGTCTCAAACCAAAAAGAAAGTATTTTTCATCGACTCTTGTTTTGCAATAATTTCTCCATCATTACTAAATTACCATGTAGCATAGGTGCTTGATCTTCAAAGAATAAATATAAATGGTTTCAAGTTATTTAGCCTTATTGTGAATTCGGATTAATATAACTAATAAATATGAAGTCATACTACCTTCTGATTCAGAAAACATTATACAGACAAAAATAGGGATTAAACGTACTTCCAACCCGGTGCTGAACCTCTGTAATTACGTCTATCTATGTCAGAGTCATCCTGAAATGAAGAAATAACAGAAAATTTACACTAAACGTACGAATTACAGAATTAGTATGAAAAATGCGATTACACGAGACATTTGCGTCAACCTTCGTCGAAATTATCGTAGAATAGGAGGGATGACTTATTATTTTGTGCAGAAAAGGTTCGAGTATATTAACTAATCAACCAAGAAACTCGATCACGGTTCTATTACATTCATGGTAATTCGATAAAGGCCTTTATAAAACATATAATTTCAAACTAAACAATCACTGTATGCATTTAAGCAAAACCAACGTGCTTTTGTTGTTAAGAGATCTTTTTTATGAGATCCTATACCACTTCCTACCATCTTGTTTTGTGGCTATTTTGTTCACGCTTATGTAAATTAGTGTAGAAACGTACCCTGAATGAATTTAGAATATTCAAAGTTTGATTTATAAATTTATTATAAGTAATAACATTTATAAACATAAAGACCCACTTTATTAATGGTTAAGTGGCAAGCTATTTGACTCTGATTTTGACAAACGTTTGAGTATGCCCCATTCAATTTCTGTATTACATCAATATCATACACACATTAAGGTTAAAAAGCACTTTTTTGTTGATGCATTTAATCAACAACCTTTATTTTTTAGAAGTCGATTTGTTGTATGAGTACTGTGTCGACTAAGAGAAAGTTTGAATATCTATTAAACGTCTGCACCAGTGATACCACCAACCTCTATTTTTTTGTCTAATTTATGTGTCTTGTAAGAACTTGCAATCGACCATTTTACTTCAAAATGTGAATCGCTTTTCATTTAGGCATGTACTTATAAAATTCGTGACATTCTCAAATGATATCGCTCGGTGTTTTAATCCAACTATGATGGTTTTAGTAGCTCACAAGAGAGATGATATTCACCAAAGAACACTAGAAATAATAAAAAATGACGTTGCTGAAATGTGCTTACTCACCGAATCCGAGCCATTATTATGTCTCCTTCCCGTATTCCAGCCTTCATATCCAGGTTGTCGGTTATAACTATCCTGTCCGTACATCCCATTTCCTCCAAAGTTTCCCGGCATTCCTCTGGAATAGTTTGACTAGAAAAATAGTAGCACAAACAGATTGAAAATGTATTTTCTAATTTTCCATATTAATTGTGTGATCAAAACATTTACCCGTAAATGTAAACATTTCTGATGAAAATGTTTACTTCATATTCAGAACTTCAATCCCCAACTTTTCCACAAAATTTAGGCGGCGAAGATTATGAATAAGGTGACATTTAATAACATGGACAGAATCGTGGAGTGACAAATATGAAATCCAATCAAAATTTAAAATTAATGGCAAGATAAAAGATTCCACGCCAGTAGGACCGCAATGAATTTGTACGACATCATTTCAGGTGTTTAATCTTCGGTCGGCACTATATTTCGAGCCTTAACAAAAATGTCTGCATCGTTGAACATTCTCAGACACAACGGTCAGTTGTTAAGTGGACTACTTTTAAGTCAGATTTTACGATCCTTTTACAGTTTACTAATGCCATCATTGGTATGATAAGTCAAGTTCAACCTAAGATTATACTGCGATTTCAAATAACTTTCAAAAAATATTCCCCTTAAATGCAGACATACGGGCGTTTCCGAAGTTTAATTTAGGTAGTACGATACTCCAATGAACTAAATTAGAGAGCAAATTACAAAACCCATATGTCATGTAGACGGAGCGATATTCGCTTTGAGTGTGTAAGCTTTTGAAACAGTACAGAAAAACAAGAATCAAGCTCAAAGAAATCACGTAGCTTTTACTACCTAAGAAAACGTTCTCAAGTTTACGATATAAACAAATAATGAAATATAACAAGCATTCTGACTCAATCCATAGTTTAGTTCACACTGAAGACTTGACACCTGAACTCTAAATATTTCAGTGTCAGTATATCAGTTTTTATTGAGATATTGAGTACGAACTAAATGATTCAGCAGTTTATACATAATTCTCTTAGGTTTACTGTGATTAGATTATTTTATTTCTCAAGAAAACAAGATATCAGCATTGCTAGCTGTATCTAAAACTGGACACCGGAAATTACAGTCTACTTCTGAATTTTGGTATGCAAATTATTAAGATATACAAATCTAGACAGTAGGTGTAAATATATAACATATCCAATCATTCAACAATATGTATTCGGACAGAGCACCTAGCTTGTTACAGCTAATCACCCATATTTAAAGTTTCACCCTCATTTAGAGAATTCAACAATATTCAGTCAGAAAACTTTTAGGAACTCTCAAAGCATATAAACAAGTATTGATTCTTAAAGGAACTCACATTCATATTACCGTATCGAGGATCCATGCGATCATCGAAACCAGCTGGACTAGGTCCAAAACCTGGATCAGTCAGGTTAAAGTTATTCTGGTTGGCATCAAAATGACCGCTTTTGTCTCCACGATGAAAAGGCATTGTGTTCAGAGAATGGTTGGTAGCGACAATGTATTCCCATATTTAAATACATAAAAGACCTTGAACTCAGCATCACTGATTAAAACAAATCAGCAGCCAAAAATCTTATCATTATTAGTTTTAGAGTAAAGTATATAGTACATACCTTCTAGTTTTTCAGACTTCTAGAATTATCAAATAATTTTTAGAATATCATACATGTGGGTATAAACTCTTTTTATTAACACTGCTACTATTTACAATCTACGAAATAGAAATGTTAATAAATAGTGGCAAAAGTAATCCCGTTAGTGATATCTCATCTTAGATTTCGCATATACCTGTGAAAATTCAGTTTTTGCCATGACTATATTGTTTATAATAAATCTAAAACTTTTGACCGTTTTGAGTGTTCATGTTTTCGTTGCCTTTCTAATAGAAGTTTCCAATTATATAAACTGTCTTCCGTATCATGGTTGTCGTACTACCCATAGAAATAAGGGACATGATAGAATTAAACTAGAACTGCACATTTGATATGTTACTAAGAGAAAGGTAGAGGATAGTCGTAAACCTTTTTATTCAGCTATTTCAGCGATTTATCTCTACGTGACTACGATAAATTTCCTTTACGAAACTAACTCACATATCCAAAGTTTGCCGCTGGCAATCGATGACAGAGGGCAAAATTTTGACCGATATCCGTGTGAATTTTCATTCTAACATATTTCGGCCCCGTACTGACGTCATTAGTTGACGCATCTTATTTACACTAAACCTAAGTTGGAATTTATATAAAAAGTCTGAAACAATATGTTGAGGACATAAGAAGAACGACAAAAACTCAAAAGACGCTCAGCTAGGAGTTCGTGGGTCGTCGAGTACATGATGAAAGTTGCCTATATAAAATTGCATTTCAAGTAACCTATAAACTATATGTTTTGACTGGTTTTCCAATAATCAGTGACGGTCTCTATATGTTTTTTCTGTGGTTCTCTGCTGGGACACATTTTAACCTATCTGTTAACAAGCAAACAAAGTGAAGTCTATATTTTCAATGGAATGCCTAGTAAAATCATGCTTTTATATGCAGCATCTACTTACTCGTATTGAAGCTTTTAATGGAGAAAAGAGGTTTAATAATAAAAAGCAAGTGAGCTGACAGTTCATGGACTTAAATCGTGTCAGTTTAGAAGCACACACAAATAAATGCATTTGTATAGACAGCCTAATGATGATGCGGTATCAATAATAATAATAATAATAATAATAATAATTTATTCTCAAATAACTAAGTTACAAGAGTCACGCCAGTTTACAGGCTAGATCAAATTGTCACAAATGCTTTTACAATTACTGTAAAAGTTATAGCAGTTAAATTAAGTATAAGAGGCAGTTTCTGATTGCATATTTACACCATATCACTGACAGAAACAGTATTATACAGCCACATTTTCAATATTAGAGTACAATTGAGGAAGGTGCACAATAGGTTCTATTGGCGATTGGCCGAGATCAATAGTGAATTTGTTGGGAAAGGTCATATGGAACGCGCTTGATACGAGCTGTGATCCAGACAGTCATGTACATTGGGTGCATGTTCCCATAGAGTGCCAAGGATTTGCTACCGTGAATGGGGTTCTGAAAAGGAGAAGAGAGAGAGGAAAAGGCAGCAGTGTGGCAAGTGTATATATATAACCAAAGCACTACTTAACCTGTCATGTTAAAGTAGTCAATACAGTAGTAAGTCAAGATAAAATTCATACTGACCACTTAAACTAAAGTAAATTATGGGAATATAAGAATATAACGCACAGATAAAGGAGTACAGCAAAAAGAAGGGAGAGTTGTGCAGTGTCAGGTGGATAGAAGAGAAGTCGAAGTAAGAAGCTGGATTTATGTACGTTGAAATCTAAATTCTAGTTAAAAGAGTAGAGTTTGTAAAAATAAATATTTAACGAATAAAATCTCGCACTGTCTAACTGTTTTTTTTCTTTATTATTGAATGCCAACCTCTAAGTCATACTGTAAGCGCCTGAGTAAGAATGTTGCAGGTGTCTCGACAGAATAGCGACCTCAGCATAGTTTTGGAAACATGAACCACAGAAGTAGCAAGCGTATAAGAGCAACCTCAGTGTTACTGATTAGTCGTCTCATCAATCTAAAGAGCCGAAAGCAAACAAAATGTTCTGCCCCACAAACATGGGTTGTTTGAAGTTATCGCCCATACCATCAATGTTTGCTGGTCAGTAACTCCACCCTCCCTCCTTTTGTGTTGTTAGGCTCATGTTAAATGTTTAAAAGAAGCTATTGAGTTCTACTTGGTGTTCTATGTCTCGCATCCTGTTGAGAAACACTATTTCTGCAAGTTCCTTTCACAAACTCGTCTGGCTATTACAACTTATGAACTATTGGTTAGACATCAATGCTATACAGTTAACAGTTATGGAGAAATAGTAAGAATTTTCAAACAAGATATAAGCATTTTGAATGTAGTGGGGAAGATGTACTTAACTAGCTAAGCAGGAGATATAAAGAGTATCGCGGTTAAAAGCGGAGCAATAGATAACACTAAGGGGCCAAGGTAAGTCAATAGCGTGTAAGTGAGAACAGTATAATTGATAATAGGCAATGTGAAACTCACACAGTTGTATGTGTTGATAAGGTTGCGCCCAGGAGAGTAGAGTGCATTCTAATCAACCAGTTTACAGTTGAACAGTGTCAATCGACCCAGTTAGTAGAGTAACCTGTCTATTTCAAATAAAAACTAAAGAGATTTATATTCAACTAGAAAAATTAGTGATACTTGGGAGTGTAAAAATAACTAAATAAGACGCAGCACTGAGTTCATTGTGTTTAAAGTGTATGCAGAGCTATTAATATGAAAGCAGGGTGCGAGTGAGTTCACGAGCGCAGAAGAGTCAGTGCAACTGAGAGCATCATTAAGAAGTTCAACAAACTCATGTAACCCACTTGCCATGCGTATTTTAGAGGGAAGCCTATTCCATATAAGTGCATACTTAGAGAGGAAGAAGTTTTCTCGAGTTTTGGATTTATACTTCTCAAGTTTGACCGTAGATTCTTTATCTCGAAGGTTATGTGTACAAGGGCCATGGATAAGGACTAAACTGCAGGAGGAATATGTGAGCTTGTGCAGGAGTTTAAAGTAAAGGATCAGATTGGACTTAAGCCTTCTTTTCCATAATGGATCGAGCCCGAGTTCAATACATCGGGTTGGATAGTCAATGGGTGAGCTATGATTTAGGACTTTACGAGTAAATTTCCTTTGTATTCCTTCAAGTTTCAACATATCAGACAGGCGTACGTTAGAAAATAAGAAAGAGCAGTATTCAGCAATAGGTCTTACACATGTTTTATAGAGAATTGTTCTGGATTCTCTATGAAGGAAGTTACGAAAGATGAAACCAAGCATTCTTCTCATTCGAGAAACTTTATTGGAGATATGTTCGGAGAAGTTAAGGTTGTGCGAATAATGCACTCCAAGATCAGTTACGGATGTGAGTTTGGGCAATACACTCCTGTTGAGAATGAGATCTAATTTGGGAGCAGCGTCTCCGAAACACATCCAGCCACACTTCTCAGTATTAAGTTCAAGGTTCCATTGCTTACACCAGACATCTACAGTATTGAGTTCGTGCTGGATTGTGTGCAACAAGTTTCCTAAGTCAGATTTGCTAGTTTGATAAATCACTTTTAGGTCATCCGCATAGAGGTAGGTTTTACCAGTGTTGAAACAACTGCATATGCTGTTGATGTAGATTATGAAAAGTAGTGGACCCAAAACACTGCCCTGCACAACACCACTGGTAATTGGTCGAGGTGTAGATGTATGTGAGTTGATTTTGGTAACCTGATATCTGTCTGTGAGGAACGACTTAATCCATTGCAACAGGTGGCCACTAATACCGACGGACTGAAGTCTGTTGATTAAAAGACTGTGAGGTACCTTATCGAAAGCCTTTTTGATATCAAAATACAACACGATTACTAGTTGCTTTTGATCGCGTATGCTGGTAACCTCATTAAAGAAATCTAAAAGACATGTGGTGCATGACCTAGTTCTAATGAAGCCATGTTGAGAGGGGTCAATGTGACCTTCCCTGAGTAAGTGATCAGATAGTTGATCTTTTATCACTTTCTCCATCACACGTGATATAACAGGAGTGATATTAATCGGTCTGTAGTTTTGGACTAAGTCTTTCGGTCCAGATTTATGTACTGGGACAATATGAGTCAACTTCCACGATTCGGGGTATGTACCAGACTCAAGGGATAAGGTAAAAATTTTAAGCAACAGCGCTGAAAGGTTCGGTCCTGCCATTTTAAAAAGTATGGAAGGTATCTCATCCGCACCACAGCTGCCATTGGGTTTAAGGGTTTTAATGGCGGCTTGAATATTATTAAGATCAAATTTGATGGTACAAAGATTATGCATGCTGCTACAGTTAGTGTTAGTATCAGGGGTAGGAGATGTGTTCAGATTGAGGGAGAACCATGTACTAAACAGTTCGCAAATAACAGCTTCGTCATAATAAGTCTGTCCATCATGTAGTATATAATGAATTTTTCGATCTGAGTCCTTTTTCATGCGTTTGTTAAGCAAACGACAGAGGTTTTGGGACTTACACTCGGTTGCGAGAGCATTATTTTCTTCGATTTGCCTACGCACTTCATGTTGATGTTTAACACCGTCAAGTAAAGCGTAAATTTGGTACAGGATGCTGAAGTCCTTAGATTTGCAATACGCCCGTTTTAGTTGACGTAGTTTAGCCCTAGCTTTGTAGGTGATATAAGGAGTAACTGTTTTGAAAGACGTTTTGAGTGGGATAGTCGTGTCTAGAGCAGATTTGATGGTGACGTTGAATATATGTAATGCATCAGAAAGTTCAAGACAAGAAAAAAACTCAGTCCAGTCGGAGTGCTGAATTAGAAACCGAAAGCTGTCCCAGTCAGCATGTTTATAGTCTCTGTATTGAAAACGGTTTACTGTTTTAGATTTG